GAAAAATATCTAAAAGGGACTGTACGGAAGGAGGAATAAGAGGAATTTGGGTATCGGTTAAGGAGCTGAAGTCTTTCACGATCTCCCTAAAAACGGAGCAGATCGATGTAAAAGCAGCTGTTTGCCACTGCATATATGGAATAAGTTTGCTGTGTCTATTGGTTTAGCACTATTGGGATTTGTTAGAGGAAGCAATACCACAGTCTTTCCCATCCAGACAAATTCATATGTATTCGGCCTTTGTGCACCGCCTGTGTGTCATACTGCCACGGACGACCTAAAAGAATATGGACACACATCCATTTCTAACACATCACATGTTATTTGGTCTTTTTAGCCTGTTCCAATAGAGAGGGGAACAATACAGATGGTATTAATCAAAGCTTCCCCTCGTTTTCAAATCCAACTTACCTTACAGGGAGATGGATGTGGTGATACTTTGAGATTTAAGGTGGCAACCAACTTGCTAGACACCAGATTTTCAGTACTCCCGCTATCAATAGTAATGTTGCAGATCTTACCATTGACTGTGCACCGTGTGTGAAAAAGGGACTGCCGTTGGCTTGCCAAATCAGTTTTTGATGTCAACAGAATGCGTTCAAGAACACAGGCAACCTGCTCACCATCATCAGGTTCGACATAGGTGATTTCCCCATTCGAATCTTGACAATCATGGGGATCATGATCCAACGAATCATCAATGATATTAAGCGTTTTCCGCTGGGGACGCTCGTTGGACAAATGACTCACTTGACCGCACCGAAAACATTTTCCTAATGTAGGTCGATTATGGGCATTGGTGGCTTTCTTACCTTCGGGATCACTAGGTTTAACTTCCTCACCATTCTTGTTTTTAGACCCTGAAGAAGTGGCCTGCACAGAGGATAGATCAGAAGAAAGAAAACCTTTCTTGGTGGTACTAACCTGATTGTCGCCTGTCGTCCGTCTTTGATACTGAAATTTGAACTTGTTGGCTTGTTGTTCCTCCACAGTAACAATTGTTGCAATGGCTTCATTTAAGTATCCGATCGGTTGAAGTTGAAGTTTTTCTTTGATGTCTAACCGCAACCCATTGATGAATCTTGCAACTTGGTATTGTTCGTTTTCGCCAAGATTGGTTCTTGCTCCCAATCTGTGAAACTCTTCGGTGTAGTCCGCAATAGTTCGGGTGCCCTGTCGACAACCCTAATATTGATTGTACAATATCTGCTCGTAGTTGATGGGCAAAAAACGGGGACGCATCAGCTTCTTCATCTTTTCCCAAGTGCGGATGGGAGCTTTACCAAACCGCTGTCTATTAACTTCAAATTGCTCCCACCACACTGATGCGCCACTCTTTAACATTAGAGCAACAAGCTGCACCTTTTTCGTGTTTGGTGTAATCATATATCCAAAAAAAATTTCTACATTTTTAATCCATTCTAAAAATCCCTCAATGTTTAGTTTATCGTCCAAGGGTGGGAGGTCCACCTTCATCTTGTAGTCACTTGGTTCCCCATGATAATGTCGATGGCGCCTATGTTGGCGACAATCGTCTCCCCACTGTTGAATCTCCTCCTCATCGCTGGAGGAAATGTCTTGGTAATCTTGGTGCCAGGGAAAACGGCCGTGTCGTCGATGGTGAGGAAAATTGCCATGCCTAAATTGTTGTCGTTGGGGAGCAAACTCCACATCTGGAATGAATCTTGGATTATCACAGGGGAGTTCTTGAATAGGTGGTCGTCTGGTGTCATGAGGTGGGCGGGAATTGAGGAGGTTCTTGAGTAGGGGGATGTTCTTGCGGTAATCTTGGGGTTGGTTGCTGTCCATTAGGATGAATCTTGATACCCTGCTCCCTTTTTTCTTTCCCAAGAATCCCTCTTGGTTGTTCTTGATGCAATTGAAGATCATCCAACTTATCTACAATCACGTTCAGAATTTGGCGGATCTCTACCACATTCCTTTGGAGGTTTTCAACAGCCCCCTCAACCATCATCAAGCGGGTGGTTGTGGCTCGTGGAGAGAGGACGGCGGCAGATTCCGTCTCTTATTCAGCAAATGAACATTTGGCCGTGGACAGAGCATTTCTTTCCCAGCCATTCCAAGGATTCGTGTTGCTCTGATACCAACTTGGTGTAAACTCAAATGAGAGAAGAGTAGTTTTATTCTAATAGCTTGAGAGAATACAAAGGAGCTTCCTATTTATAGACAAATAGGCTACACTTAAAGGCTTTTGACTACAAGCCAATAAGGCAAGCTAACTAAACAACTAAACCGTAACTAACTTATTGTATAGGTAGTTACATCAAGAATGTTGGGAAATCTTCTTTGAAAATTATAGAAACAGAGTTGGAAAATCTAGTCTGAATGGTCCATAAATTTTGAGGAGAGTGCAAAAACTACCCTATAAGGATTGTTACAACTGTACCTTCAAACTTTCGCTTTGAGCACCAAACTTGTGAAATTATTGCAATCAAGTCCTACGGTTATAACTTTGTTAGTTGCTACTTAAAAAAATCTTGAACTCCCAACATCGGTTAACAATTAGAAAGGATCGCGAGAGACCTTTTGTGGAAATGGTTGGGTGAGGTGAGAATTTGGGGAGTAAAAATATTTCCCTCCTATCTAAATGGTTGTGGAAGATCTCCTCAAGAACCTCAACTTGTAGCATTCGGTAATTGCGAACAAGTATGGGATTCATTCCAACAGTTGGGATTTATAGCAAGATTGATGAACCACTTTAGGAACCCATGGAATGCAACTTCCAATGTCTTCCAACCTTCCCAACTTTTATTACAATTTCTTTGAGGGTTGGTGGTAGGGTTCAATTTTAGGAGGACCCTTAGCCTCAAAATAGATCCCTTCGATTGCATTTTCCCTTACATAACCCTGTCTTAAACTTTCCTGATTTCTTGTTGGGAAAGTGGAGACTAACACAAAAAGAATATATGGTGGTAGAGTTCAATTTTGGAGGACCCTTAGCCTCAAAATAGATCCCTTCAATTGCATTTTCCCTTACATAACCCAACCTATTTTTACTTCTTCACTGAGTTTAGTATCTCGCCATTCTCATATATGTACTAAGTCTTTTTTCTTTTAATTTTTTCACTAAGAAGAAGAAAAACTTGAGCGTGTGGTCGGCAGTTGTAGAAAGGAAGAGGAAAGAGACTGTGGTGCATCATCGACAGTCCGTTCTCGTGATTTTAGTGAGGTTTTTCATATTGTATTTCTAAGTAGCCATTGTCGTGGTACTTAAAAGCTAGGTTGCCATTGTCGTGGTACTTAAAAGCTAGGTTGCCATTGTCGTGGTATCTAGAGAGCGTTGTAGAGCAAAAAGAAAGGCCCATTGTAATCTTCGCATCATAGTAGAACCTGCATTTTTAGAAGAATGGACGTAGTCTCGAGCTTGGGGCAAACCAGTATATTTTCTGATTTTTGTTTTTCTATCTCTACTTGTATTTCCTTTATTATTGATTAAATTGTGATCTGCTTCGTCCTGTGAAAGAGGAAACTAGTTAAATCCTAGTTATCCCCCTCGGGTTGCTCTCTCTGCCTTAGGAATGAGGAAACAATTGACCACCTCTTCCTCTTGCACCTTTGCAACAAGGTGTTGGTCTTTTTTTTTTTATGAGGGAATGCGGTCTGTTTGGGTGTCTTCCTCGTTTGCTAGATGATTGGCTTCTTGAAATTGTTCACGGGTTCTTTGAAAGGAAAATCCAAGATTCTTTGGAGTTTTGCTGGTAGAGCTTTTCTTTGGAGTATTTGGAAGCAAATGGACCAAAGAGTTTTCAACAATACCTCTCTCCCTTTTGGTATCTTTTGTGAAAATGTACAAATTACTACGCCTCTTGGTGCCTTACTCATAGGAGATTCTTTTGTAATTACAATATAGCCTTACTTACCATCATGAGATTGGAAAGCTGTAATATAGTAGCTCTTTATGGGAAGGCCTCCTTGGCCCTTGCCCTTAGGTTGTTTTCTCCATTTTACAACCGACCAATCTTTATCCAAGTCGTTGCAACCATTGAGGGTGGTTAACCAATCCTTCTCATGCCTTCACTCACAAGTCTTCGTACATTCAAGTGAATTCATGTCCTTCTCCAACATGCTTTTTTTCTCTAAGTAGTAGAAGCTGAAAATCTCAAAGAAGATCCGAGTTTTTTTCTCTGACTTATACAGCTATAGGGAGGATTAACACTTATACTTTATGCAAAGAAACTCAACAGTCTAGTTTTGTCCTATGTTCAAATTAGTGTACATGGACAAGTGTGATGTAAAGAATCTTAACTAACTGTTGTGGTTGTTTTTTATGCTTCCAAAGTGTGGGGTTGTCCATGGGAGACTTTTGGTTTTCTATTATTCTATGTCAAGTATCTAAGGGATGATTGAAGACGTCTAGATCCAATGTTCTAGGAGAAAGCTCGTGTGCTTTGGCAGACTGCCAGGCTGGTTTCTCCGTCATTCTATGGTAGAGGAGGGCATGGGATTTAGCATATTTTAACACCTCCCTTTAGGTTCGTACTTCAAAATTTTTTGTAATTGCCCTTTATTTTCTATCACCATGCTAGGGGGTTCTTTTCTATAATATAGTGTTTGTATTCCCTGCTTTTGGTTGATCCTTTATTCCTTTTCTTTTGGCCTCTGTTCTTTCGCAAACTACTTTTTCATTTTAAAAAACAACAATTATGGGATTTCGTTTATATCTCTATTGATGACCTCTCTCATTCGAAACTTCTATAACTTCTCTCAAGCCACAGTTTCCAACAAATAGCTTTCACTAATATTATACCAAAGATTCTAGTTTCCCCAACCAAAAAGCACCCGTGAGCAAGTGAAGCTTAGTGTCAAGAGGGCTATCCCCTGCTCCACCTACCAGAAAATGGATTTGGCAGAAAAGAAAACGACCATAGCCGGATATCAAAAATCAAAATCCGGAAAGGGTAAATGAATGTAATTATGCCCAATTTGATGAAATTTTTCAAGATTTGTAACAAAAATGCACCAGAAACATGTATACGTACTTTATTGTCCGCTTTGTTTCCAAAACCACGCTGAGTGTCAGAGTCGGAGCGGCTCTGAATTTGAAGGATTCGGAATCGAGGAGCCATTGTAACCAACATCTTGCGGTCGGACAACAGCAGAAATGGAGGCGAGGAATTGTGAGGAAACAAACTGAAGAAACGGATAGATGTGAAGCTGAGGAAGTCAGCAGTTATCGGAAACAGAAATGAGTAACGCCGACATAGGCTGGGTTGCAGGAAGCTTCAATAGCAATTTGACATCGATATTTTTTCAAAGAAAAAAATTGAAGTTTTGAAGATAATATTTCACACCCGCGATAGATGTCAAAGCTATTGGACCACATTGGCAAAAAATTTTTATGTCAATTTTCCTAAGATAAATGTTCCTCGTCGCAGATTAAGCGACAAAATTGTGGGAGTTCCGTAGAAATTGATTCGAACACTTGGGAATATTAAAAAAAAAGAAAAAAAATTATAAGATTTTGTGTTTTTTTTTTAAATAAAAAAATAAGTCTTTATGCTCTCTGGACATATTCTTCTCCTATCAGCGTGGGCAATATAAAAAAGAAAAAAGGTAACCAAGTTTAAATCAGACTAAAATAGAATGATGATGGCAGGAAATAGAAAGAAACAAGAATAAGTTATGGATGATCCCAAAACTATTTTGTAGTTTTTTTATTTTTTTTTTCAATTTTGTTTTTAATTTAAAGTTAGTAATGGGATGGTAAAAGTTATTCAACTCAATCATAGATATGGACCAACTTTAAATATAAAGTGTCTATATAAAAGTGTCTATATCTATATGAGTATACATCCATACGAACTCTTACTAACTAGTCAATTAAAATTATTCAAAAATCTCATTTCCATGTCTATAATAATATATAGTAAGTTTTATTCTCTCTTCTTATAGAAGTTTATTGAATTCATTCATCACTCTATCGCTACGTTGGTTGATTTGATTGTTATAGTCACTTTGTAAATTCCGCGACTTATGAAATTAATGTTTTTGTGAATATTAAAATAATGATAATTTATTTGAAGAAGAGAAGATTCAATTATTAAATAAATGTCAATTGTGTAAGAAAGTATTAAAATAATCTTGAATAAATGTTTCATAAAACCGTTATTCAAACAACCTTTAAATGATTCATGTTCTGAAAATGTCTCTTTAGAAATACATGTCAATTATCATATTTGATATAGAGAGGAGAACAAATTTTTTTTCTTGTTATTTAAAAAAGAAAAATTAGTACGGAGATTCGAATCCATGATTTTAAAGTCAAAGGTATATGTCTTTAACTAGTAATGTACTACTTCTAAACATGTAACTACAGTATTATTATTAACATACTAACATGTTAAGAATAATGCAATACACAAAGCAAACAGCCCTAGTAAACGAATATCAATACTAATGTCGCTTGTAAGTAGTAGCAACTTAAGAAGCACAGACAATTCATTTTGGGTAACGCGTTTGTTTTGGATATGTATTGGACTTGTGTCGGACACTCTGATACTTATCAGACACTCGTTATCTCAATAGACGTATATCACACACTAGAGGTAAAAAGTAAATATGAATTCGACAGTTATTGAACATTTGTTAAGCATAAAAAATATACTAAGTAGTAGTAATATGACAAAATAATAAACTTTGGGGTTAAAATACATCAAACTCATTTTTTTTAGGAAAAAAATTGGCTCTTTAAAGTTTGGAAGGACTTCCTCTTTGATACCATTAAATATTTGACAACTCATTATATTTTTTTTTATTTTTACATTTATCTCTCTTAGTTGTCAAATATTTAATGGTGTTCCTCCTTAATAAGAAGCCAAATTTTTTCCCTTTTTTTATACATAAAAATGCATAAGAATATTGACTTTGAATTTTCTTCCCAAAAAAAATTGCATAATTTAGTAAACATGTCTTTCTCACGTTCATGTCCCAGATTTTTAGAAAATAACATGTCACCGTATCCATATCCTATCCGTGTCTCGTGTCCGTATTCGTATCCGTACTTCTGTGGTAGCAACTCTGCAAGCAATGGAACGGAGCACATTTATAGTTTTTAATAAGAATACTTGAACTCAAAACATTTCGCTAGATCACGAGTCAACGTTGCCCATTGCCTTCAATTTATTTCTTCCAAGAATTCTAAACAATGAGCTCCAGGTCAACCCAAGGACCCACGACACATGCGGTTCATAGTCATAGTCTTGCAAATCCTCCAAACACCAAACGCAAAATACTATGAGTCTACCTTTCGGCCACCAACTTAATCTCCATTCAAGATTCCTTAAAAATTGATGGCCAGAGAATCTGCTATTATTTATACACAAGGGGCTTGTTAACCAAAAAAATGCTTATTGTAATCCAATAAATGATGTTCAACAAATTTCTTACAAAGTTGCAAGTTACATCAGGAGCTAAAACTCTCTTCTTCATACTAGCTCTTGCTGAACATAATCACTGTTCATCTTCGCACACTCCTTCCGTTAGACGATCATTGCTTAACTCACCTCTCCCACTTTTCTTCAAATATACATTGTTTTCAAGCTCCAAAACAACATTGTAGCCAACTTTGATCGTAGAACCTCCCTCCCCTCATGTAGTATATTTGTTATCGACGTTCATGGAGTTTCCTTATTTTAAAATCAAATGACAATGAGAAGAATAGTCCACTTTTATCATAAACTCTTGTTAGGTCCTTTATCTTTTCAGTGTAAAATACTACACATGTCCAAGATGATGCCTCTTTTGGGTTCACTAATCTTTGTCGAATCTCATTGTTGGATCGAATGCTCGTTTGAGCTTTTGAGCTCTGATGCCAACATTCAGGAACTTCATTTCAAAACGAAGTAACAATTCGAGAAGTAGCTCAATATTTTCAATGTGAGATCCTTTAACATGCCCTATCAAGATGGTGCCTGGATTCATCAATCTTGGCCTAATCTCATTTTTTAACCGGATGCTCGTTTGAGCTAGTTGAACTCGAATACCATATCAAGATTCATGGGGTTCTATCTCAAAGCCAATTAATTTTGAGATGAAACTCATGAAATTGATATTTCTATCTTTGCTACCTCTCATACTGACAGGTTTTCTGTAAATAACCTTAGCCTCCTCCTTACTAAAATGCAAGCTACTTTTTCCATATCCAATTGCCAGATTGTTAGGTAAGGACATGTCAACCAGAAATTACATGAATACTAATGTGCCTCGGTATTCTAGAGTCTTTCTAGATGCCAATGCTCTTCCATGATCCACCCTTCACCTTAACCCAACAAGTACCACTTTTCCCCTTTCAATTTACCCTCCAGAATATTTCAAACAAAACAAGACCCTCCACCTACATAAAGCAGTTACTTCTAATAGTAGGGAACTTCGGTCAGTGACAAACCACTAGCCCTGTTCAGCTAAGTTATAACAAAAAAAAAATCCCTCATTTGAACCCAGCTCATCAAAACTAAAAGAGAAGTCTTTCTAATAGGCCAGTGAATACCTTTCTGGACATTTAATTTAAGGAGCCCCACCTGTACAGCCAATTAATCTTCGTGCACACACCAACAGGCAACATGAAGCGGTTATTGCATATATTGGCATGCCTAAAACAACATATTTAAGTAATACCTCACCCGCTCAAGAAACGAAATTCTCTGCCCACCCATTATTTTACTACTTTCTTTCAATCTTACATCTTCAAATATGTTTGTTTAAGATAAGCAAAAGTTCACTCACATACCTAAATACCATTAACATAAATATCCACAGCCAAGTGAAGATATAATTGCCACCATCCACAGCAGAATTTGAGCTGAGAAAAAAAAACTACTCTTATTCAGATAATAACCTGCCTGGATGTCCTTCCTTGTGTGTTCAAAACAAAGTAAGCCTTCTTTCACTTCCCCCTGTAAAAAAAGGAGGGGAGGAAAAAAAACACACCCATCTGGAAGAAATCATATTGGAATTGAAACCTGAGGCCTTAATTCATCAATTTAATCCTAGTAAAGAAAAGAAGAACGAGCATCTTACAACACAACATTAGTATTTGAGAGATTGTCCTGGGCAAAGAGTGTTCACATGAGTTCGTTGAGGTGTCTACACAGGAATAAAATCCTCTTTTATCGTCATTGGCTCAGCATTATAGCACATAGGGCTTCAGCGCTACTACAGCGCTTCAAACCCGGGTTCGAAGCACCTTGCTATAAGGCAGACAGTTACTAATATTCTTATTCAGAAGGCTAGAATGACCTTCCGTGCACATAATAAATATTCACCGATGGAAGAGAATGAAACTCAGAGATCAAACATTAGCATTTTCTGAGTACGTATGAGAATCAATCGCAAAACAACGACTACCCTATCCACCACTAGAAAATTCCTCTCATCTAAAAGGAAAACAAACCACAAAGACGAGTACCGAGGTTCTTTTAAATTCAAGAAGAATGCTTCGTAGCATTACTGACAGAGCTCCAAATATTGGCGAGAGCCCCAAAAACATGCGGCATCACACTCCCAACCCCTTTCAAAACAGACCCAGAAGCCAATCCTATAGCAAAAGTCTCGGCGTAGCCCGGCTTCGAGTCCAACTTGAGGTCCAGAATGGCAACACGGCTAATAGTGGCATCGATCTTTTTCGAGGTCTCGACCAGAAGCTTGTCCTTTTTGCCTCTGCCGGAGGAGACGATCCTGAAGAGAGCATTCTGAAGGTCCTCTATTACCTTGATTGAAGCATCATGAGAATTAAGGCCTTGGGATTCGTAGTGGGATACGAGTTCCTGTGGAGTAGGAAGCTTCCTCCTCTGGGTTCCTGAAGAACTCATGGGGGTTGCAGTGCTGTTGGCTTGGGGGAGAGAATTTGGGAGTGGTGGTGATTCCCCCATTGGAGCTCAAAACTGGGACGAGAAGAAGGAAGCTCCTTCGATTTTTGAGCTACTGGCTAACGGGAGGAAGTTCGGAAACAGATAAATGGGAAATTAACCTAGAAATTAGAATATTCAATACTGGTCTTGGATATTCAAAAAGGGTTGAGATATTCAATAAATTGTTTTGGTCCCAATTTATAAAATTTACTTTTGCACGAAAAAAAGTAATATATTATTTTCACATTTCCCAATTTGATTATATTTATTTATCTACAAAATAATCTATAATTCTCAATCTGTAGCATGATAAGATGTGTGCATTTTATCGGTTAAACTCTCTCTGGTTTAGGAAGTCTGAATTTTCCCATTATTTTCAATATCCTGATCATAAAATATTAAATTATAATGAAATTCAAATATTTAAACATAATTGATTGATAAAATGTAAAATAAATAATATAAAATATGAATTTATTTTAACATCTTTATCAGTGTATATATGTATATTAATTAGAGACTATACAATAAGTTAATTAATTATACTATAATTATATATAAATTATATGTTCTTGTAGAAAAAATTAATTATCTATGATATAATTAATAAAAAGCAAGTAGATAGGTTAATAAAAATAATTATCTATTACTTGTTTGTCTTTTTTAAGAAAATTAATTATCTATTAATTGTGTATTAATACAATTGATTAATAGAAGTTAAAGAAAAAATCAACAAAAAATTATTCCAATGTAGGAGTAGATAGGTTTGGATGTATATATTAATGAATCTATAGACTATATATAATTGATAATATATGGCAAATTGTTGGAGTGTTCATCCGATTTGACAATGATTCGAATCTAAATAAATTATATTTTCAAGATTGTTTGCTATATTCATATTTCATGTTCATATTTCTCATTTCCTAAGAAACAAATTTGATGATAACCTATTCCGTTTTCGATAACATTTTCAAAAAATAGGCTAAATTTTAGAAACTATGGAAGTAGTTTCGTTTTTCCTGTTTCTCTTTTAATTTTTTTTATTCAAGACATTATATTTTCTTAAAAAAAAATTATTTTTATTAAATTAAAAAATTGAAATTTTATTATTTATTTAAAACCAATAATTTATACTTTTATATTGTAAATTATATTTTCTTTAATTAATTATATTCTTCTCGAGCATATAGTATTTTTTTCTATATTATATGTACTCAATTTTATTAAATTAAAAATAAAAATAACAGTTACTACACATGTTTTAGTAAAGAAGTCGTGGGTTCCAATATCCACCCCACAAGTTGTATTAAGAAAACTAAAAATAAAAATAACAAATATATCAAATTTAGTTTCGTTTCTATTTATTTTTTAAAGAAATAAGAAACATAAATGGTTGTATTCGTGATTTTAATTATAAAAACAAGAAACGAGAAAGGAGCCGGAGACCGAGAAATATGAAACCACCGCTAAGGTTGCCAAAATATTTTTGAATTGTTACATCACATTGGAGAGTGGGTATTAGTTTTGTGGTGTAATTAATCAATAATGTGGTGTGTAGTGTTAATGAATTGTATGAATGAGAAAGATGAGAAGGCATGGATTGAGACGACAGAAAAAGGCGGTGAACTGATCTAATTTTACAAAACTCATACCAAATTCCTGCATTACATATTAATGAACAAAACGAAATTAACCTGAGTTGATCAAGAGACAAAAAAAAGGAAGAGAGAGAGAAGTAACTTGAATTTGTTGATATTGTGTCTTGTGTTTGAAAATAAAAAATAAGGGAAGGCTGATATAGAGAGTTGAGGTTGGTCGGATCGGATCAGACATTGGTGGTTATAGAGCGCATGCAATTGCAACGCAGCCTCATTAAGCTGTGCAGTAGTCAGTAGTAGTAGCAGCTTAGTAGTAGTAACGAAAGTGACACGAGTGACGGGTGAAGTTGAAGCAGACAGGATCGACGTCCATAAACAAGTCCGGAGTTGGGGTAATTTATATATCTCCAATTCCATCACTCAAGTCTTCGTCATCATTCAACTCTTCAATTTTGGTAACTACCTCATTCAAATCCAACCTTCTCTCCCAATCTTCCTCACAGCAACTCAACCCAATCTTCAACATCTTCAACATCTCACCTTTATTACTCTCCCGGGCTCTCCCCAGCTCTGCATCGAACACCAGCGCCGTCTTCTTTTCCTTGATCATGTTGTTGACCCAAGTAGCAAGGTCCGATTTGGTGTCATGGTTCCGGGTCAGGTAGTTCTCTGGGAACCTCCCCGTCAACATCTCCAGTATCACTATACCGAAGCTCCACACGTCCGTCTTCTTGGTTATGCGACCGAGGTGCGCGTACTCGGGCGATTTGTACGCCATCATCAGTGTCTGCCCATGCTCTATGTTGGCAACAGGGAGCAGACCGTAGTCCGTGAGTAGAGGCTCGAAGGAGTCGTCCAGCAGCACATTTGAGGATTTGAGATGGCCATGTGGTGCAACAATGCTGGGCAGGGAGGTGTAGAGATAAGACAGCCCCCTTGCTATGCCTTTTATGATCTTTAGCCTTGTGGCCCACTCCAGGCCTGTCTCCTCATCATTGTGGTTACCATGCAAATGGCTGGCCAAACTCCCGTTATCTACAAAGTCTGAGATCAACAACTTCTCTTCCTTCCTGTAATAATACGCAACCAGTGGGAGTAGATTTTGATGCGTCAATCTGCCCAGCCTTCTCATGTACTCGTGAAACTCCTCCCTTCCTACGTTGTTCATTTGCTTGTACCGCTTCACCACCACTGCATTGCAAAGTATGGTTGCTTTGTAGGACGACCCAAATGATCCGCTCCCTAATATTTCCGCCGACGCTCTCAACAAGTCCTGTAAGTCGAACCTCTCCCTGTCGTCCCTAACGAACAATAGTTTTCCTTGGTCTGCTCCCGCCCTCCTCGACGTCGTCTGCGCAACCGACGACGTTGATACTGATGAATCAGTCGATCTGTATACATCCCCTGCGGCTTGCTTGCCCACGTACTTATTGTTCTCCTCTTCGATGATACCTGGGCTCTTCCCATTCCCCTTTCCTAATTGTAGCGCAGGCTGCTTCCTTAGATTCAATATGATGCAAATGGAAGAAATCATGGCTAATATTATCCCCAAAATTAACAGTATTATCGCAATTCTTAGCAGCCCCGCCGATGACAACTTGGATTTCTCGCATGCTGGGAGAGGACCTCCACACATACTGTTACCTACAACCATATATATATATTTGTTATACATTAATTATTGATTAATTAATTATAAATTTCTACAATTATGCGTTCTTATTTAAAAAGTTACCTGAAAAACATGAAGGATCCATGTGGCTTAAGCTCTTAGGTATTGGGCCCTCCAAGACATTGTTGGAAACATTAAGGCGCTTCAAAGTATCCATTCGAAGGTCGGGAACATGGCCTTTGAATTTGTTTCCATCAAGTCTCAACTCCATAAGCCTAGACAGTGAAGCGAGAGATGAGGGAATTTGGCCGTTGAATTCATTATTGGTCAAAAACACTTTCTTCAAAAATTTCATACCCGTAAAGGCATCGTCCGGAATTTCTCCTGAGAAGTGGTTATAGGAAAGATAGAGGGAGCGCAAACTCCATAATTTGCTTATAACAGAAGGCCAAGGCCCAACCAAGGTGTTGTTCATGAAGCTGAGGGTGCGCAAACGAGTTAAAGAAACCAAGGGATCTACATCAACATCGCCCTTAAGCCCCATATTCTCAAGCCTCAGGCCCCTAACATGGCCGTGTAAACAAAGCACGCCCGCCCAGTTTGACTTGTGGTTTTCGCAAGGCGGGACAGAGGGAACCCAGTTGTGAAGCGCGGTGGCGGAGGTTAACGAGCGCTTGAATTGAAGGAGAGTTTCGGCATCGGAAGGTGCCGCATGCACCGATAAGACCATGCATGAGGAGAGTAAGAGAAACAGGTGGAAGAAGATGAATAACGCGGCGCTGATGGTTGGGGCTGGTGCGCGCATAAGCCCCGCCACGCGCACGCCCGTTGGCATTGGCTTTCAAAACTTAACCACCAATAATGTGGCTCTGGCTCCCAATTAACATACACTCAAGTAGCTAGACGTTGGCGCAGGTAAGGGCGTGGACGTGGGCGTGGGCAAAGAATGCATTAACTAGCTAAACGCGGGCGAATATTGGATAATGTATTACGATGTTTATTTGAGTTGCATGCAGTCGAGGACGGGGGACAAGGATAACATTGTTTGCCTTGCCGTTGAACCAAAAGAAGGTTGGAGGGGATTGAGAGGGTAGGCTTAAATTGCAAGGCAGATGTTGTCTTGGATGTGTCCAGTTGCGAGATTTGTAAGGGCAGCCTTTGAATATTTTAGGATGTACCCAATTTCTGTTTCCTTTGTCAGTTGCCATTAACTACCTACCACTTACACCCCTTTTTTTCTCCCTAATTGCGGCTCTCTTTTTCTCCATCCACATTTTTTGGTAAATTGTAATAATACACATCCATGTTGTTATCATTTTAATTTCTTTCACTTTCACCCCTATGGTTTCATCGCACACAAAATCAACTCTCTGTTTGGGATTTAATGCTTCTGTTGCTACAACGAAAGCATCTTTTAGAAAATTAACAGTTTGATCTTATCGGTGATGTAGTTAATTCAAATATTAATATGTTTTAATTTTTATGTTGCTTGTGTTTAATATGTTTTATCTTTCTTGGTAACAATCATACATATATTTATTTCGAAATAAATGTTGAGGTTGCAGTGCAAACAAAATCTCATCTTAATTAGAAAGATAGTGATCTATAGTGTATATATAATGATCTTTTGGGTGAAACAAAAAGCAAAGTCATGTGGTTATTTCAAAAGCGGACAATATCGTAGTATCGTGGAGATACTTTGGGAATTGGGTAGAACTTGTGGATGGATCTCCCAAATCGAACAAAAAATGCTCCTTGTTCAAGGGAAGTGTTGAATCAAGAAATCGATCAACTCCGCGAACGTCGGTTTGGCTAGGATGAGCTGGACAGTGAGTTCCGAATATCACGTAGAAGACTTGCAAGACAGAGCGAGCACTCCGGTGCCAAAGTCAATGAAAATCGAATGAACGGAATGGTTCTATTTATAGGCGAAGACCCCGACAGTGTTCCCGACAAGGCTTCAACGACTCTTTAAGATTACCGTGAAACGCTGCGTGTTGTTGTGGAGTGTGTCGAAGGTGTGATCGAGCTGAGGTAAGACAATCAGTACAACCAATGATATGAGAACAGGATTATGAACATGCTTGTTCGACTCGACCACCAAAAGGGTTCGACTCGGTCAAATGGATTAGCCAAGATGTGTATACTTGGGTTAATCCTCCGCGGGATCTATGAGCCACGTGTTACCTTCCACGTCAAGGCATCTTCTATAACGTGTATGCTGAAATGTACCTCCAACAAGAATGATTGTTTGGTGTTGCAAAATATGCAAACAAAGTCCCACGTTAATTAGGTAAAAGAGTGATTTGGTATATAAATGAGGAAAATTATCTCAATTTGTATGATATTGGTATGAGATGTGAGAGCTACGCCAAAAGAGAGGAGATTGTTTTTACCAAAAAATGTCCTTAATTCAAATATATCTCAAATTACTTGGTTCACCCATCTTTTCCCTTAAACTTAAGGGTATTTATAATATCAAGCTATAACCGTTGGTGTAAAGAATTTGAATTTATGGTTTCCTTACGAGATTCTAGGCGTATTATACGCGTTCGGCCAAGTTCAACAATTTCGTGCCTTGATCATCTCGAACTGGTTGTCAGGTTTTCACCTTGCGAGTTGTTTACACATGGCGTTAAGTCGAACTACTGGTGACATGTTCCTGAGGTAATTTTTTACCTCTATTAGAGATATTTAGAGGTATTGGATACCCATGGTCCTTAAAACTAAACTATTTTAATAATATATGAAGATTTGTTTTAAGGAATATTATGAGTTTTTCAGCTGAAACCTCAAATTTATTTACTTTCCAGTATTTGTTGATGGTTTGTGAATTTTATTTATTTATTTTTTCATGCATTAGAGTTTCTTTTGTTCCTTTTTCTTATATGCTGTCACAGTTATATATTTTTTGTTTCTATAGTTTTTTTTTTTCGTTTTCTAATAGTCTAATATAAATATTCAATATATAATATATAATTATAGTTTATGGTAATTGCATAAATTAAGATTGGAACTGTAATTTATTTGTTAACATGTACGAATTATTTTTTTAAAATCACTTAAAATTATGCTTTTAGTGTAAATAGGACCACGGTCTACTATTGTGCCATGAATTTTTGCTTCCGTGTTAGTTCTATGTTTTTTTAATTATTGTTATTAAAAGTTATTTATTTTCGACGAATATTATATAATATACACCTTTTGATATAATGAATGCGATCAAAATTGAGGTTGAAATTATTTTCAAGGCGAACTTATTGATTGAGTCCAGATCAATTGATGATTTAGGATCATCTGGTCGAAATCCACCGTGAATCTTACTGTCTCTGCAAATATCATAACATAAAACCTTCGTTAATGGCTGCCAGCGACAACAAAAGACAATAAAAATAAAAATTCTATTTCTATCCCCAAATTCATTTCCATTTCAACCAGTCAGTTTCTAGGCAAGGCAAGTAGAGGGAGGGAGAACAAAAAGGGAGGGAGAGCAAGAAGAAGAGTAAAGATAGATTTAATTTTTTCATTTATGAAAGTTTAAATGTAAATGTTAAGTTTAGTTGTGCAATTTTTTTAAGTTTGAAGGGTTTAATTTTTACTTAACTTAAGAAGTACTGTAGTAGTAACAATAATCATACATTAGGGAGCTCATTTGTGGAATTTATATATATATTTTTTCCTTTATTTGTGTTTCTTGATTTTAGTTATCCTTTTTCTCTTATAATTCCTTTTAATTTAGAACCTTTATTTAAATCAAACTTATCTAACTAAAGAGATGGTTGATGCATGGATTATGCTCTCCCAGTTCCTCCCGAAGTTCGCACCAAGCTTGATTATCAAGAACTCGAAGACCTGCAAAATCGAACAAGGCTAGACCGGTGTGACACTTGTCACACGGGCTCCAATGCCTAAGTTAGCAAAGGGAGCAGTAGAGTAATAGAATTCAATGGTCGAATTCGGTTTACCTTAGGGTTAGGTTATATGGCCTATTTATAATCGTTTGGAAGGTTTCCAGAACCTTATAAATGAGCCCTAGATAACTGTTGTGAAAGCCTAATGATTCATAGACAACAGAAGAGAGAGAAAGTCGGGCTCGACACTGATCAGGGGTATTCGATCGGTTGGCATTGGAATCAGGCAGAAGAGATTGGGTCGCACCTTAACCTAAAGGCTGCAACAAGAAGCCGGCGCCCCGGTGCCGAGGTGATCCCGGCGTCAAGGCGGGTCGACTTTCAAAAATGGGTCGGCCTCTTCGTCGATGATCTCGGGCTTCTAGCTATCTCACAGTCCGACCTCTTATCTCGCTTGGGTCGTTTTTGTTCCCTATAGTCGTTTGAGAGTTCTAGACCCTTCTACGTGAGCCCTAGATAACCGTCGTAAGGCCCAAGGCATTGTGGGCAACAGAAGAGGGAAGATGCCGGACTCGACTCGGCGGCTCAACTCAGCTCGGTTTGGCCGGCCATTTCATTGATTCTCTTCTGTTCCCTTGGTTGGTTTGTTTGTGGTTTTCGTTTGTATAACAATAGCCCCCACACTCAAAGTAGAAGGCATAAAGCATGTCAGGGCTTTAGTATTTGTTGCTCAGTCATTCCATAAGTGACTGTTTTTGTGGAACAACCTTCGTACCATCTCGTCTGGGTCGATTGTCATTTCACGGGTTGGCCTTTTTAGCCCCCATACCCTTTTTGCCATAGTCAACCGTGGTTAAGCCTCTTGGACTTTGCCATACAGTTAATTTTAACTGTTTAGGTCTTTTGTGATACAACTTTTAGCTGGGCTAGCTGTACCTCATTGGGTTAACCTGTTTGGATTTTGCCCAGGGTTTTATATCTAGGGTTCACTCTTGGGTTTCCAACCTATTTAGCTTTTGCCAATTGCTTCATACCCTCAGCCTAGTCGATTTGTCGCTGTCGATTATCGTTTCTTGGACTGGCTGTCATAGTCCCCATTCTCTTTCATTGTAGTCGGTTGCAATCAAGTCTCTTAGGCACTGCTATACGGTTAGTTTCTACCGTTTAGATTTTGGCCTTGGGATTTAACTTCTCTTAGGTACTCCTTTTGAGTTTCTAACCTATTTGGCTTTTGCCAATGGTTTTTAAACCTTGAGTTTAGTCGACACCCTTGGGTTTTTAACATATTTGGCTTCTGCCGGTTTTTAATCCGAGTTCAATCAACACCCTTGGGTTTCTAACCTATTCTGACTTTTGCCAAATGGTTTTCTACCCGTGGGTTTCATTGACCGGTTTAGGCTTGCCTACTTTTTGTTTTGACCTTGTTGGGCCTGTACACCTGCCTTTTTAAGCACCTTGGGATTTTCTTCCCTGGTTTCACTGATTGGCTTCTAGTTTATCGGCCTGCTTTTAGGTTTGTCCCAGCTCGAGCTCCTTGACCATTGTTACTCACTGGCCCCCACTTGAGGAGGTTTTGTTTAAGGTATCAAATGAAAACTTTCTCAAGTACCTCAAGTCTTGTCGTTCTCTCCTATGTCGCTTTCTTCTATCTGCTCGTGTCGACTAAGTGACTTCTCCTTGCCAAGCACAAATTTTTGGAAATCGGGTCGGCTTTCCAAGCAGTTCCTGTACTACGTGCTGCTGACTTTTGCTGTTGTGTAATTATTGGATCTGATCAGTGGAAGAGACCTCATTAGTAGAAGATGCCTGGTCGGCAGAATTGGTCTGATCAGTAGAATAAGCCTGGTCGATGGAAGACACCTGGTCGACAATAGAGACCTGGTTGGCAGAAGGCATCGGTCGGTTAAGACTTACTCGGCCGAGACCTAGTCATGTCGTGGACCTGGTCATGCCTTGGATCTGGTCGTGCCCTAGAGTCTGGTCTATGACAGTTATACAGTTCGCTTGTCAGGTCTTTACAGTAGCTTTGTCCTTCCACGGACCTCGGACGGGCGTAGGTTGCCTTTTCTTTTGTTGCTCGAATTTTCCAAAAGGAAGGTTGTGTTCTTAACACACTCCCTTGACTTTTCACAACAACCAATGTATCTTTTGGATGCCTTAGAACTTCATCAAGTTGCTTTCTCCATTATGAGATTTGTT